TTCCCCCCCCCCCCCGTCAGGTCCCGCCCCTCAGGGTCCACTCCCTAAGATTCTGCCCTCTTGGATTTGTCCCCAAGGCAAGTCAGTTATGCAATGACCACGCCCCCTCAGGACCTAACAGAGACATGCCTCCATTCCTCCTGGCCCAGAATCACATGATCGTTATTAGTCATCTCCCATTCCCGAGGTTCCTCCCCCTCCACCCCGCCCCGTGGAATAGCTTTCACTAATTAGCTCCACCCCTTCAAGACTTTGTCCAATGGGATTTCGTCTCTGGTCTCCACCCCATTTTGCCCCGCCCACAGTGACATCAAAGCCGGGGAAACTCTACCCACGCGGATTTCAGGCAATGCTGGGCTCTGCTGGGCTCTGCTGGTAGTGGTCCTGCCCAGGGCGTGTCCTGGGTTCGAATCCCGAGGGTGACATTGATCTTGCCAGAGCCAATGAATGATTCCGAATAAACCACAGGGGCGGTAACTTCCTTTCGTCTGCGGTGTGGTGTGAAGGGTGGCATGGGTGGGAAGGAAAGGGCAAACCAGGGGACAGACACCAGCTAGAACCTTCACACCAATCCTCACAACAAATATATTGCAGCATCACGGGCCGCCCTGGGGAGTAGGGAGGGGAAACCAGGTCACAGTGCCTCCCGAACCTGCCTTCCCAGATGTCCCTGGCAGAGTGCTGATTCACCCTCTAAGTCCTTAACCAGAAAACTCACCTTGTGAACACTTAAGAATAGTGCCAGCACTCCTCCTTGCACAAAACTTGGGCTCCAAGCTCTCCCTTCCTAGAAAACAGAGACTCAACCCCAAGTCCCCCTCCTCCCTCGAACCCAGGAAAGCAAACCTTAGCCTACCCCCTCAGACCCAGGAATCCAGGCTCCAGTCCTCTTCCCTCCTCCCCCAGACTCACATTTCCAGGCCCCAAGTCCTTTTACCTTAGATCCAGGGGTTCAGTCCTAACCCTCCTCCATCAGACCCAGGGATTCAGGTCCATCCCTCCTCCCTCAGACCTATGGGTGGAGGCCCCAGCCCTCCTTCCTCAGACCCAAGAATCCCGACGCCAGCCTCCTCCTCAGATCCAGGGTTCCAGCCCTCCTCCCTCAGACCCAGAGGTCTAGACCCCAACCCTCCTCCCTCAGACCCAGGGGTTTAACCCCAGCTCTCCTCCCCCAGACTCAGGGATCCTCCCCAGCCCTCCTCCCTCAGACCCAGGGGTCCCAGACCCCAGCCCTCCTCCCTCAGACCCAGGATCCTGACCCCAGCCCTCATCCCTCAGATCCAGGATCCTGACCCCAGCCCTCATCCCTCAGACCCAGGATCCTGACCCCAGCCCTCATCCCTCAGACCCAGGATCCTGACCCCAGCCTCCTCCCTCAGACCCAGCTCTTTCAATTTCTTCCCTGGGGTCGGTGTACCCCCCTTCAGATCTCATCTCTGCTTCTGAAGTTCCAGGCCCTCCTCCTCAGGTCACTCCAGTCCCTGCCCCTCCTCACACTCAGGGGTTCAGCAGCATCCCGCTGTCCGGTGCGGGAGGAGGCGGAGGCGGAGGCGGAGGCGGGGCTTCCCAGTTAAAAGGCTGCAGAACCGTGTACCCGGCACACCGAAGGGAAGTCCAGGGGCCTCTTCCACCGAGTCCGAGTGACCCCGCCCCCTGCATTTGGAAGGTGAGGTCCAAAGGTCCCCAGACACCCACCTAAGGCGTAGGGCCCTCCCCTCCCCAGACCCAGGACCCCAGAGCCTCAGAGCTTCATCCTCCTGAACGCCCAGCTGGTCCCCTACTTTTAGATTCCTCTGCCCGGTCCCAAGAGTCCAGACCGAGCGCCTTCCCTCCGAATGTCGGTGTCCCGGCCAGCCAGCTGTCCCCAGGAACCTGGAGCTCTTCCCCAGTTACCTCAGACCCCAGCTCACCGGATCCCTTGTCACCAAAACAACCCCAAGATTTCAGGCTCCTCCTTCGGAGGCTTCTCAACCCCACCCTCTTCCTCTACCCCAAAGGCCACCATGGGACACCCCCCACCCCAGGCAGCACAGGCGTGGATCTTCCTACTTTTGCTGGTGGGAGCGTGGGCAGGTGAGGGGGAACCGGCGGAGGTGGCATGGGGTGGGGGTGGGGGGGCTGTTGCTGCTTGCTGGACGAGGAAGGGGTGTGTGTGTATGAGGACACAGGTAGTCACGTGTGGAAGCATGGTGGGACGTATGCTTCGTGTGTGATGAATGTATGCGTGTCTGTGTGGTCTGGTGAGGATGGATGCTGGGGCTGAAATTAAAAGATGGCATGCAGAGGAACTGGCCCGTGTGTCCGTTTGAACCCACAGTGGCTTTCCTGGCCCGGGCTCTGCCCCAGAGGGTGGCGACCCAACCCTCTCCCTCCTGATTCAGGACTCTCCAGAGCTCAGGGCTCCAAGGTGCTGGAGGGTCAGGAGTGTGAGCCCCACTCCCAACCTTGGCAGACGGCCTTGTTCCAGGGCGACCGACTGGTCTGCGGGGGTGTCCTGGTGGGAGCCAGGTGGATCCTCACTGCAGCCCACTGCAAAAAACAGTGAGTGGGGCTGAGCACAGATGGGGGGTTGGAGGGACTCAGGATGAGGGCATAGTGTTCAAAGGGGAGGAGTTGGAGCCCTGGGACTGAGGGAGGAAGGCTGCGGAGGACTTCTGGGTCTGAGGCAAGAGGTTTGGGGTCTGGATTCTTAGATCTGAGGGAGGAGGGCTGGAGAGGACTCCTAGATCCGAGGGCCCTGGTCTCCTAGTTCCAAGGGAGGATCCTGGATCCCTGGGTCTGAAGGAGGACGGCTGAAGTCTGAATCCCTGGATCTGATGGAGGAAACTGGGGTCTGGGACCCTAGGTCTGAGGGAGGAGGCTGAGGAGGATTCTTATGTCTGAGGGAGGAGGACTGAGGAAGATTCCTATGTCTGAGGGAGGAGGCTGAAGTCTGGACCCCTGGGTCTGATGGGGGAGAGCTAGGGTCTAAACCCCTGGGTCTGAGGGAGGAGGGCTGAGGAGGATTCCTATGTCTGAGAGAGGAGATGTTCTTGACCTGAACCCCTGCCTGAGTTCCAAGATCCCCTTCCCCATTTGCAGGAAGTACTCAGTGCGCCTGGGAGATCACAGCCTGCAGAGTAGAGATGAACCAGAGCAGGAGATCCAGGTGGCTGAGTCCATCCAGCACCCCTGCTTCAACAGCAGCAACCCAGAGGACCACCGTCATGACCTCATGCTGGTGCGCATGCGACGCCCAGCATCCATCGGGGCCAAAGTGAGACCTATCAAACTGTCCAATCGATGTCCCCATGTTGGCCAGAAGTGTACCATCTCAGGCTGGGGCACTGTCACCAGCCCACGAGGTAACGGGTTGAGTCCCTGCTAGTGGGGAGAAGAGTAGCCTGTCAGCAGATCCCAAACCATTGCAAATCTCATGCCCAACCCTAGGAAGAGACAAAGAAGGGTTGGGGGAGGGGCTTGCTGGGGAAAACACTGGCAGTAGATGTGTTTGTGGAGCAAGCACGGAGGGCCTGAGTTCTAATCCCCAACACCCACAAGCAAGCATGAGGGCCTGAGTTCTTATCCTACCTTAGAACCAATTTTGGCAGGACGATTAATAACCTCAGTGCAGGGTGGTGGCGATGGGTGGGTCCTGGGGGCTCCTGGTCAACCAGTCTAATCAAAGCAGTGAGATCCAGGTTCAGTGAGAGACCCCGTTCAAAAAAAAGGAAATGGTGGAGGAGGGATCGAGGAAGACACCTGATACTGGCCTTGACTCTCCACACATGGCTGCATGGGCGAGCAAGTGTGCATATGTACCTAAGGCCACATACACACACACACACACACACACACACACACACACACACACAGCCTGTTGTGGTGGTGTGCACTTGTTTTTCAATTATATTTATCTATGTTTTGTGTGTGCATGCACGTGCATGTGGAGGTCAGAGGGCAACCTTCAGGAGTCAATTCAAGTCCACCATGTGAGCTCTGAGGATGGAACTCAGGTCTTTAGGCTTAGCGGCAAGCGCCTTTGCCCATTGAGCTGTCTTGAGTCATCGCACTGGCCCAGGCCTGCTGCTGTAATTGCAGCTCACCAAAGGTGGAGACAGGTAGTTGGATCCTGAGACTCACTGGCCAGGTGAGCAGGTGAGCGCCAGGCCAACTAGAAACCCTGCCCCCCAAACAGGTGGACGGCATCCTGGGGAATGACATTCAAGGCTGACCTCTGGCCTCCCACACACATGCATCTGTACACACATGTACCTACACACATGCACCATGTGTGCATGTACCCCCCACACGTACACACATGAATCTGTGCACACACATAGACACATGCATGAATATGCACACATGCACTTGAACACATGTACCCTCATATACATGCATGCACAAACATGCAAGCATATGTAGCGATGTGTGTGCATGTGTGTGCACATGTACATGCATGCATCCAATACATGAACATACAGTGCACATGCATACAGACACATACATACATGCACCTGTATGCATATGTATACAACACACAGTTAGCCCCACATGCACAAAATGTACACACACGTATTTGAACATGTACACATGTAACATATACACATACACACACACTCAGTGCTCCTGCACATACATATACAACAGGCATGCACATACACACATGCACCTGCACAAACACACATCCATAAACTGGTGCACACACATACATGCAGGTACATGCATGCACAAACATATACACACAATGGGCCTATAAGCATCTAAACATACATCTACACATGTGCACCTACATACGTGAACACACAATGCATCTGCACACATGTAAACACACAGACACACACGTACACACACATGCACCTGCACACACTAGTTCCCCCCCTCCCCCGCCCAGACCCACTGGACCCACACCTGCCCACATCGCATACTGTCAACACTGGATAAGCCTAACAATGAAGAGATTAAACAAGTTGTTAAGTGGAGTTTTAAACAAAACCCCTCGGTCTCAGGAGCACTTCGTTTATCCTGGGTTTTCCATGTGTTTCCTGAAACACTGAGCATAGCAGACAGGCTCCAACCCGACCCAGTCCCTCTTGCCTGTGCCCCAGGGTCCAGGCCTTCATCACCCAGCCTTTTTAAACCATGCCACTAATTCCCTTCTCCCTTGGGGCCATTGATGCCTTCCCTCTGGGACTTCGGCATCTAGAATGTTCCTCAGCTTATGTTACAGCGGGATCAAATGGGGCTCAGCTCCGAGAGACAATGGGGCCCCCAGGGAAGCGGCCACATCAGTAATCAGGTTCCTGCATGTCTGACGTTTACTGACAGTGTGTGTCTTGGAAATGTTTGCTGAGGAGTTGGGTCGTGTTCCTGATTCTCCCCTCAGCCTGGTGGGGGGCACTTCCCAATCCCCCAGCCCCCAGCCTCACTTTCTACATCTCCATCCTGAGAATCATTATCCAAAGGGCTTCTTGAGGGTTCTGTTGTCTATTTTTTAAGCTATATTTTATTTGTTCATTTGTTGTGTGTGTATGCATGCGTGCATGCGTGTCTGCGTGCGTGTGTGTGTGTACCCATGTGCACATTCCACAGCACACATACAGAGGTCAGGGGACAGTTTTCAGGAGTTGGTCCTCTCCTTCCATCGTGTGGGTCTCAGGGATCGAACTCAGGTCGTCAGGCTTGACAGCAAGCCCTTTTCCTCCACTGAGCCATCTCACCGGCCCTATTCTGTTTTGTTTAGTTTAGTTTAGTTTTGTTTTGTTTTGTTTTGTTTTGTTTTCAGATGGGGTCTCCCTGTAGCCCCAGCTCACTTGGAATTCTCTATGTAGACCAGGCTGACCTTGGTCTCAGAGATCTACCTGCCTCTGCCTCCTGAGTGCTGGAACTAATGGCATGTGCCATCACACCTGGCCCTCATCTGTTTTCTTGACGGTGTGTTGTTCCTGGTGCTTGGAAAGTTCCTGGGACAAAGAAATGTACTTTTTTTTTTTTAAGTTGGCCCAACTTGGGCTCAGATTTTTTTTAAAAAATATATTTTATTTATTATTTTTATTTTATGTGTATGAGTGTTTGTATTCATTTAATTTATTTCAAGACACTATTTTCTTAACTTTTTTTTCCTTTTTTTTTGTGTATGAGTGTGTTGCCTACATGTATGTGAGTGCACCCATGTCGTGCAATGCCTCAGAGATCAGAAGAGGGCTTCAGATTTCCCTGGAACTGGAGTTAAGGAGGGTTTTTAGCCTCCATGTGGGTGCTGGGAATCGAACCCGGGTCCTCTGCAAGAGCAGTCAATGCTCTTAACTTCTGAGCCATCTCTCCAGCCCAAGAACTCTATGTTTCTTATTGTGTGGATGAACGACAAAATGAATGGCTGCATCCCTCTGCAAAGGGACTGAGACCACATGAGCATGTGGGCAGAAAGTGTTCAGATTCTCCCCGAATCTGCTTCTCAAGGAGATTGATAGCAAAGATTAATTCCAATTTCAGTCATTTGTTTTCATTTGGCCATATTGGGGATTGAGCCAGGTGCCTTGCACATAGTAGGCAGGGGCTCTACCCCGAGCCACACCCCCGCCCCTCACTGAGGGAGCCTAGGCAGGGGCTCTACCACTGAGCCACACCCCAACCCCTCACTGGGGGAGCCTAGGCAGGGGCTCTACCTCTGAGCTGCACCCCAGGCCCTCACTCCGGGATTCTAGGCAGGGGCTCCACCACTGAGCCACACCCCAGCCCTCACTGGGGATTCTAGACAGGGGCTCTACCACTGAGCCACATCCCAGCCCTCACTGGGGGAGTCTAGGCAGAGGCTCTACCCCTGAGCCACACCCCAGCCCTCACTGGGGGTGTCTAGGCAGGGGCTCTACCCCTGAGCCACACCCCAGCCCTTCAGTTAGTCATTAACACATATTAAGCACTCACCATGCCCAGGGTTCTGTGGTGGATATGTACACAGCCATGAACAAACTACCACATCCCTTTCTTTACAGAGCTCATCTTAAGTGGGGAAATATATAATAAATAAACATGTAAAATAAAATGCCAGCTAGATCTGTCCTACAGTGGGATGCTGTAAAGGATGGAAGGGTAGTAAGAAGTAGCATCCCAGGTGTTCAGGAGGCTGAGGCTGAGGGATCTCAATTTCAAGACCAGCCCGGGCAACTTGAGGAGATTCATGTCTCAAAATAAACAAGAGTCAGATGGGTGGTGCACTGGCTGTCCCAACCCTTGGGAGGCAGAAGCAGGAAGGTCAAGAGTTCAAAGTCCCCGTTAGTTACATAGAGAGTCTGCAGCGAACATGGGCTATGTGAGACCCTGTCTCATGTAAAATAAAAATTAAATGAAAAAGGTCTGAGGATATAGCTCAGTGACACAGTGCTTGCTTAGCATGTATGAGTGCTTGTGTTCAATCCCTGGTAACACACACGTCCACACCCACAACTCACGCAACACACATACCACACACACTACACACATGCACCACACACATACACATAACACATACAAACACACAAGCACACATACATGCACATTCATGCACATACACACACACTCAGACACACCCACCCACAGATATTCACACATACAGGCGTATACCACACTCATACATATAGATACATATACACCATATACATACACACACATACCACATACAAACATACACATATCACACCTATAGGCACATCACCCACAAACACACACAAATACATATATACCACACAAGCACATACACGCACCACACATAAACACACTACACACCATACAAACATATACACACACCACACAAAGATGTCCATATATCACACATATTCATATATGTGCACACATACACACCACACACACTCCCCATACCACACACAGAGGTACATATACAGACAGGGGCACACCACACACACAGAGGCACACTCATACACACATACCATGCACATACACACATGAACATATACATGCATAGCAAATCCATATATATATCACACAAACACATAAACACACAGTATGCACACCATGCACAAACATATATACACACATTCTGAGCCCCCCTCCAGCATCTCCCCATTGATTTAAGGATGACTAAAGGCAAGAAATGAAAAGGTGAGATTCAAGGGCACCTGTCTAGACAGAGAAAAGCAAATGGGTTTGGGAAGTGATGGGCCCAGTGGACCCTCAGCCCACTCCCCCAGGAAACTTCCCACAGACAGACAGAGGAGGGATGTAGACAGGAACGAGGAGAGAGGGCGTTGTGTCTTCCCCCTTCTCTCCCCTCAGAGAACTTTCCGGACACCCTCAACTGTGCAGAAGTAGATATCTTTTCCCAGAACAAGTGTAAGGATGCCTACCCCGGGAAGATCACGGCAGGCATGGTCTGCGCGGGCAACAGCAACGGGGCCGACACGTGCCAGGTGAGCCACCTCTGAAATCACTCCTTGCAGCTTGGTGCAGATGGATGAGGGGTGACCTCAAGGAGTTAGGTCCCAGAGAAGTTGCCCAATCCCTGCAGAGTTCAGACAGTCACTGGCTCTCAGAGGGCCACTCACAGCAGGGACTCCGGAGCCTGGCTGGTCACACCTAGAGATGAGGCTCCAGGATCTTTTCCCAGGCTCCTGGAACTGGCCAGAACCTCAACCTTCTCCTGAGGCTGCACCCTTGGGGAACTGCCCTGCCATTCCACTTGGCCAGGGGGTAGCATCAGAGACTAACAAGTTACCTCAGTCAGAGATTGCTCCTAGACACAATATTGTCTTTCCTGTCCACCGCAAAGCCATCTGGAGTCCGGGAGGGGGACGGTTGCCCTGGTTTCATCCCTTTCATGAAAGCTCTGCCCCTGTCGTCGTTAGTGATTAGACCTCGAAGGCAAAGCTTTCTTCCTCATTGGTCAAGGGTGCTGTGGTCCCCATTGCTGATGGTCCATCCTCTCCTGGAGACAAAGAGTTCCACGGAATCCCACCGTGGCCCCTTGGGGATTAGCCCTGTGCTCAGTGCAGGGGTGCGGGCTCTCTCTACCACACTCTTTCTGCTGTGTTTCCCAACCCGAATACTCAGCTTAGTTCTCTGCATGAAAACCCCCTCTCTCAGTCTTATGTACAAGTCCTACCTTCTCCTTCCTGTCCCCCCAGGACTTCCCGATCCCCACTGATTATAGAGGATCAAGCTGCTGAAGGATTGGTTCTAGGGACTGGGGGTGTAGCTCAGACTGGCAAGTGCCAGTCTAACATGCAGGAAACCCAGGGTTCCAGCCCAGCACTGCATAAACTGCCACAGGTGGCCCATGCCTGTAATTCCAGCACTTGGGGAGTGAAGGCAGGGGGGTCAGGAGTTCCATGTTACCCTGGACTACATACCAAGTTCAAGGCTAGTCTGGGCTACATGAGACATGGTCTCAAAAATTAAATGCTAAGCTGTGTATGGTGATGCACACCTTTGATTTCAAGCACCCAAGAGGCAGAGGCAGGCGCATCTCTGTGATTCAGAGACCAGTCTGATCGACATAGTGAATTCCAGGCCAACTGGGGCTACAGGGAGACCCTGTTTCATAGCCCCCCCTGCCCCCGCCAAATGTTAAATGATGCTGAGACAGGTATGGCGGCACACACATTTAATCCCAGCACTTGTGAGGCAGAGGCAGGTGGATCTCTGTGAATTAGTGAGTTCCAGACCAGCCAGGGCTACCATAGTAAGACCTTGTCTTAAAAAACAAGCAGGGGCTGGAGAGATGGCTCAGTGGTTAAGAGCACTGGCTGCTCTTACAGAGAACCTGGGTTCGATACCCGGCACCCACATGATGGCTCACAACTATATGTAACTCCAGTTCCAGGGGATCTGACGCCCTTTTCTGGCCTCCTCAGGCATTGCACACACAGTGCACTTATGTAAATGCAGGTAAAACACGCATATGCATCAAATGAAAATAGTAAGTAAAATATTTAAAAACAGAAATGATCCTCTACACACTTGTGGCTTGCATGCACATGCATAAATCACATCATACATAATAATAACAACCATTATTATTATAATAATAAAGTCAAAGCCGGGCGTGGTTGCGCATGCCTGTAGTCCCAGCACTTGGGAGGCAGAGGCAGGTGGATCTCTGTGAGTTCAAGGCCAGCCTGGTCTACATAGTGAGTTCCAGGACAGCTGGGGCTACAGGGAGACCTTGCTTCAAAAAGACAAAATAATAATAATAATAATAATAATAGTTGAATGGGGCCATGGAGATGGCTTAGGAAATGAAGGCACTTGTTGCCAAGCCTGAAGACCTGAGTTTGATCCTTGGGTCTTACATGGTGGAAGGAGAGAACCAACTCTCCTATATTGTCCTCTGACCCTCACATGTGTGAGCCATGGCGCGTGCACGCACACACACACACACACACACACACACACACAGAGAGAAATAAAATGTAATTTTAAAAATTAAATGCTGCACCTTTAATCCCAGCTCTTTGGAGGCACAGGCAGGCAGATCCCTGTGAGATTGAGACCAGCCTGGTCTACATCGTGAGTTCCAGGTCAGCTGTGGCTACAGGGAGACCCTGTCTCAAAGACAAAAACAAACAAACAAACAAACAAACAAAATATCAAATGCTGGAGAAAAAGAAACATGAGCTTTTAGGTTTGTTTGGTTGGTTGGTTGATTTGTTTTTGTTTCATGAGAGTCTCCCTGTAGCCCAAACTGGCCTGGAACTCGCTATGTAGACCAGGGTGACCTCCCAAGTGCTGGGATTAAAGGCAGGTGCCACCACACCCAGCTTGAAACACAGGCATTTTAAGAGAAGTCCCTCTCTGTCCCTGCACAGGGTGACTCGGGAGGCCCTCTGGTGTGCGACGGGAGGCTCCAAGGTATCACATCCTGGGGCTCAGACCCCTGTGGGAGGCCAGAGAGACCCGGAGTCTACACCAATGTGTGCCGCTACACTGACTGGATTCAGAAGACCATGGGCAACAGGCCCTGAGACTGGGAGGCTGGGGGATCAATAAACATCACCTCTGGCTGGCTCCCTGACTGTGTTTTGGACCTCGGGGGTATGGAAGAGGAGAAGGAGCTACACCCTGTTAGCGGGCTTGGTGGGAGGCATGAGGAGACTTGGACTCCTGTGACTTCCATGACCATCACACTGCTTGAGCAACTGTATGGGGCCTTAGGGGAGGCAGCTGTGGTGGGGTACATCTGTCATCCCAGCACCTAGGAGGCTGAGGAATGAGGATTAGGAGTTTAAGGCCAGCCTCAGCTACATGGTGAGCTTAAGTGCAAGCCTGGTCTACACAGGGGACCCCCATCTCAAAAGGAAGGAAAAGAGGGGAGGAAGAAGAAGAGGAGGAAGAGGAGGAGGGGAAGGCAGAGGACTTAGGTGAGTGGGAGTGTTTTTTTCTTTCTCCCTCCCCAGTCTCCCTCCCTTCTTTCCATCCTTCTGACATAGGACAGGCTGGCCTCAAACCCCTGATCCATCTGCTGCAGCCTTCTGAGTATTGGGATGGAAAAAGTGCACCATGATATGATTCTCCCTTCTTCTATTCCCTTTCAAAATTTGGTGCCAGAGATTGAAGCCAAGGCCTTACCCATGTCAGGCAGGGGCTCTACCCTGAGTCACACCCCAGCCCCTCACTGGGGGATCCTAGGCTGGGGTTCTACCACTGAGTCACACCCCAGCCCCTCACTGGGGGACTCTAGGCATCACCCCAGCAGACAGGCTATTTTTTATGATAATGATCTTTGAAAGAACTGTAACACTTTTAATGGCTTCTAGGCAGGGGCTCTACCCTGAGTCACACCCCAGCCCCTCACTGGGGGATCCTAGACAGGGGCTCCACCACTGAGCCACACCCCAGCCCCTCACTGGGGGACTCTAGGCAGGGGCTCCACCACTGAGCCACACCCCAGTCCCTCACTGGGGGACTCTAGGCAGGTGGTCTATTGCTGAACCACATTCCCTGAAGGTCAGAGGGTTTTGATCACCCTGGAGCTGGCAGTTATGGGTCCTCTATAAGAGCAGTAGCTGCTCTTAACCACTGAGTCATCTCTCCAGCCTTCATTTTTTTTAATATTCGTTTTTATTTTATGTGTATGAATGTTTTGCCTGAATGTATGTAAGTGCATGCAATGCCTGTGGAAGTCAGAGAGGGCGTCAGATCCCTTGGAACAGGAGTTGTAGAAGGTTGTTAGCTGCCATATGGTTGCTGGGACCCAAACCCAGGTCCTCTGCAAGAGCAGCCAGTGATCTTAACAGTTAAACAGTCTCTCTAGCCAGGCCCTTGGGTATTTTTAAAATATGATATTTTAAATTTATTCTTTAAGGACAAAATTTGTTATGAGTACAATTACTGCATGAATATTGTGGGGTAACCAAGTGTTTTCTGATTGAATTTAAGGCCTGAGTCACAGGATGCATGCCTGGTACTATACATCTGGTCAAGAGCTTATGAATTTAGGAAAATTATATTGAGAATTTTAAAGATATATTTTATTTTTACGTGTGTGTGTGTGTGTGTGTGTATGTGTGTGTGCCACGTCTGTGCAGGGGCCATGGAAGTCAGAAGAGTGCATTAGGTTCCCTAGAGCTAGTGTTACAGGCAGTTGTGAATTACTTGTTGTGGGTACTGGGAACTGAACTTGGATTCTCTGTAAGAACAGAAAGCACTCTAAATTACTGAGCCATCTATCTAGCCTCAGGATCTCACCATTTTGGTTTTTGCTTTGGGGTTTATTTGTTTTGTTTTGTGAGACAGGGTCTCCCTGTAGCCCCAGCTGGCCTGGAACTTGCTATGTAGACCAGGCTGGCCTGGATCTCACAGTGCTCTGCATACCTCTGCCTCCCAAGTGCTGGGATTAAAGGTGTGAGCCACATCTGGCTACAAATTTTTTTTTTTTTTAACTTCGGTTTGTGTATATGAGTGCTTTGTCTGCATGTATGTAAATGTACCACATGTGTGAAAACCCAAGGAGGTTAGAAGAGGGCATCGGCTCCCCTGGAACTAGAGCTGCAAACAGTTGTTGCTGCCATGTAGGTGCTGGGAACTAACACTGTTCTTTTGCAAAAGGAGCCAATGATCTTAACCACTGAGCCATTTCTGCAGCCCCATGAACTGCATTTTACAAAAATGTAATCTGATTGGTGAAGGATAGATGCCTAGACTTAACTTCCTGAATTAACTTCCAAAAGGCCCCATACCGGTTAAATAAACCTTAGGTAAACCTCAGATCCCAAGTAATATCCAACCTAGGAACTGTGTAAACCTCCAACCCAGCCTGTAATCTGGGAAAACAAAACAGCCCCTCTTGTCTCAAACCTCCAAACCATGTCACCAACACCTTCTCTGAACTATCGAAATAGCTCTACCCACCCCTCCCTTTCCCAATCCCCCAACCCTTATAAGTAGCTCCCTAACTGTGCCCTAGGGCGCAGTTTCAAATCCTGGTGAAGCTGGTGTCACCTTCACTGTTCTTAATAAAGAACAATTTGCTCCTGAGGTCTGTCACATCTTTCATTTCAAGTCACCCTGTTCTATCCTGAGCTAACATATTCTAACAATTGGTCCAGCTCATCTTTGCTCCTTCAGTTACACCATGAGTTACTAAATGGCCAATCATATTACTACACTTGGGTCAGGAGATCAGTGCAAACCAGTCATCGGCTATTGGGGTCATGTGATATGAAATATGGCTGACCTGGGCACACTGGGGCTGTTCTCCACAGGGTAGGCAGGTGTGTCAGATGTCTTGCACAATTTGATTTCAACTCTGGTCCAGCATGAAGAGGGCCCGCCCTCCCTGCATCCATCAGTGTTGCTCAGATAGGAAGGATGAAGCTTATTGGTTTGACTGGAGTGATGATCCACCCAAGTGTGGGGGTGGGATGCAGGAACTATGGTGGGCGGTTTCAACAGTGACAGGAAAGGAAGTTTTCTCACTCACAGAAGTAAATGCTGTTCTAGACAGAAGGCAGAAGGCAATCCAGGAAGTCAGAAACAATGGGCCATCAGAACCCAGGGGCTGAGTCAGGTGGAGTCACCATGCCCAGGATGCCTCTGGGCAGGGCACAGCTGGAAGGGTGGCTGGCTACCAGTTCTCCAAGTGACTGTGAGCAGCCAGAGGCATCACCAGTGTGGATCATGCTGTGTCCGAGTGGGACTTAGAGACGTGCTGGGATTAAGAGCCCCTAAGGACACACAGGGGCTCTTAGCAACATGGGACACGCATCTTAATAGGACTAGCTAGCAGTCTGTGTGTGGATGTGGAAGCCAGCAGTCAACATTAGGTGTCTTCCTCAATTGCTCCTCTTTCTTATTTTGTGAGACACTGATTCATCTAGAGTGGCTGACAGTGAGCCCCAAGGATCTCCATTTCCCCAGTGCTGAGATTCCAACATGCACAGCTGCATCTGGCTCTCCCCAGAACATGGGTTCTGGGGGTTCAAAGTCAGGTCCCCATGCTTGTAAGCAAAGAATTCTACCAACCGAACTATCTCCCCAGCCTCCAGATCCTGACACCAGCTGTATGGCTTTCCTCAAGTGATCCAATCTCTCTTTAATTTTGTTTTGTTTTCCCATCTCTGAAATGAGTAATGATCCTTGCTCAAGCCCATGTCAGAAAGCAGGTACTGGGGCTGGAGAGGTGGCTTAGCGGTTAAGAACACTTGCTGCTCTTGCAGAGGATCAGAGTTGGGGGTCCCAGCATCCACATCCGATGGTTCACAACCACCTGTAACTCCAGATCCAGGGAATCTGATGCCCTCTTCTGGCATCCATGGGCACCTGCACACATGTGCATAGACATACATGCAGACACACATAAATGTAACTTTTAAAAAATAAATCTTTAAAAAAGAATGAAAACAAGGTCTGGGAAACGCTGGACACCCCGTTCTGTCGCTAGAAGAGGCAGAAACTCTGGCTCTCCCCTCCCAGTGGGCTGTGCCCGCTCTGTGCACATCCATTCCTCACGTGTCATTTTATGCAACAGTCCCAGGTGTCTTTTCTCTCCCCCACTTTAGAAGAAGGCATTGTGAGACAGAAGAATGAAGTCACAGGATGAACAACTCTGTGTTGGACTGACCTGTGAGGCCATGCTGTTTTCTGTCACACCCCAAGACAGAATGGCTCAGCGACCCAGGCAGGGCTGAGCATGAAGGAGGTGGCCCTGTGAGTGCCAGACGTTTGCAAAATACTATTTATTTAAGCACCGCCTGTGTCGTCCGGCTTGGGCTGAGCGCTAAAGAAAACAGCAGCGGACACCACATCACGTTTCACCAGCTCCTGTGAACAATGTTTAGTCACAAAACCAGATTTACTGATTAAGATGGTAACAGAGTGATTGATATGCAAAGTCTTATCTGTTGATTTTGAAATAAGCAGAGCTCCTGAAAACCATAGTTCCTCCTTTCTTTTCTTTTCTTTTCTTTTCTTTTTTTTTTTATTTAAACAAGAGTCCCTGGACTGCTCTTGCAAAGGACTAGGGTTCAGTTCCCAGGACCCACATGGGCTAGCAACCATCTGTAACTCCAGTTCCAGAGGAACTGACATCCTCTTCTGGCCTCCACAGGCTTTGCATGACTCAGGTGCACTTACGTGTATGTGATATAAGAAAAATGCTCAAATACATAAAAATAAATAAATAAAAAGAACTTTTTTTCAAGACATGGTCTCATGTAACCCAGGCTGGATTCGAACTCAATATGTACCTAAGGATGACTTTGACCTCCTGATCCTCCTGCCTCCACCTCCCCAATGCTGGGATGGTAGGTGTGAGCCACCGTACCTGGTTTATGGTGTTGGGGATGGAACCCAGGGCTTCATGCATGTCAGCTGACTGCTCTGGTCACAGAGTCCCATCTGAAACCCACTTCTACCACAAGGCTGAGGAAGCAAGAGACCAGGGATGAGAGATGGGGATCGGGATAAGAAACTGGACACACTGACTCAAGTTCCTCTCTTTGGGAAACGAGAAGAAATGACATTGTAAAGTCATTGGATTGCTGAGGTCTGTGGCCTGGGGTCCATCT